ATATACAATTTAATTCTATATAACATTCTGAATAATATGGTTAATGCCTATCCTAACAGTAGTCTGTACTGTTCCATAAAAGATTTTCACATCTGAAAATAAAGTCAGTATTTGCAAGGAAATACTGTGGCTTTTGCAAAACAGTATCTCCCAAATATGGGATTTCAAAAACGGTTAAGTCAGGACAATTATACCTTAATGATTTTTATCTAGGTGAAATAAACTTAATTAATCTTAAGGTGGAAATTTGTGATTAATGCTACTCTAGCTTTAAATATTAAATATTAATTTCAAAAATTACTGGTTGAATGAGTCAATATTCCAGTTGTGTGAATTTGTTCAAGTCACTGAATCTTAAGTCTCTTGAGACCATGCTAATCTGGCCACAGCTTCACCCCTGTCTTTTAATTTACAACATAAGCTTCTGTACTTCTCTAATATAGTAAAAATTAAATAATTCAACAAAAATTAATTGAGTGTCAATTCTATACCAGTCACTGTTCTAAACTCTGGGAATTCAATTTATGTTTCAGTAGGGGAAGGCAGATATCAAATAAGTAAATAAAGTAATCTCAGATGCTGAAGGCTTTGAAAGTTGGGGAGGAGACAGGGGAGAAGAGAGGATTACTTTAGTCAGTCAGAAAAGGTCTCTCGAAGGTGTCTTTTGAGATGAGACATGAATGATAAATCGAAGATACGGGAACTGGCAGTAAATATAAAGCTGTGTTTTTCCAACTGTAGGCCCTGACCTATTAGTGAACCATGAAATCAATTTCCTGGACTACAACTGATAAAAACATTAACATATATCACATGAAATAAAACTTTTGTTTCAGTTATACATACATTTATATATACATATACGTGAGCCCTGGTGGTGCAGTGGTTAAGAGCTCAGCTGCTAACCAAAAGGCCAGCAGTCCGAATCCACCAGCCACTCCTTGGAAACCCTGTGGGGCATTTCTACTCTGTCTTACAGGCTCACTATGTGTTGGAATCAACTCGACGGCAATGGGTTTGGTTTTTTGTTTTTTTTTGTTTTTGTTTTTTATACACGTTTCTACACTGGTCACAGTGTTAAGTGTATTTCTTGCTATAAAAAAAACCCAAACCCATTACCATAGATTCCAACTCATAGTGACCCTATAGGAAAGAGAACTGCCCCAAAGGGTTTGTAAGTAGCGGCTAGGGATTTGAACTGACCATCTTTTAGTTATCCGCTGAGCTCTTAACCACTGTGCCACCAGGGTTCCATTTCTTGCTTATAGCAAGATTAAAAACAGTTTGAAAGCCTTAGGGCAGGAAAAAGCTTTGGGAGTCTTAGGAAGAGAAAGAAGACCAGAATGCCTGAAATGAGCACTGGGGAAGAGTGGTAGGAAATGTATATAAATTTCCTACATACAACCTCCAACAAGCATCCTAAATCTGGACTGTCACCTATGTTCTCATCATTGTTCATCATTAAGAGACAACGTGGGAGAATCATCTCTCTAATGTCACTCTGTAAACTATCACTAAGAGGGGTTAACAGTTACATTGAAGCGATTATGAAAATAATTTCTAAAATAAGAATGCATTTTATAGTGAGAATATATTACTCGCATAATTAAAAAACAAAAATTTCAAGCTCATAAAACTCTTGGGGAGCCCTTTGGGCCCCTTCAGATTCCCCTTACAATGAAAAACTTCCATGTTATTGGTGTTATTTAATTTTTAATATCTCTTGGATATAAATATAAAAGAAAATGCTACAAAGAGACCCCTTAAGTCAAAATGTATACGGAAAAAGCAAAAACAAAAACAAGAGACAGGGACTGCAGACATGACTCTTCCATAATCACCTCACAACTTATTTAACCGCTCTGGGCCCTAAGATTCCTCATGTGTAAAACCAACAGGTGGCAAAGGTATTCAGTAAGGTCCCTTCATACCATAAAATTCCATGATTCTAAGTAAGTTTAGAATCAATGACTATTTTAAATTTGCAAAAATTAACCTGGTGGTTTACTGGAATGAAAAAAGGAAGAAGTTACATGAGAGCCAATAAAGATAATGTCCTTTACTGTCACTGACATGGTGTCTGAAGAACTACAAGAAGCAAAAGTTATCTCTCGAAGTTTATGTTGTACTTAGGTTGATCTGCATTTTGGAACCGTGTGGCCTTTTCACATCATGAGATCAATATCTTGATGTTGTGCATTAAATTGTGTCCCCTAAATATGTGTTGTCATTCCTAACCTCTGTGCCTGTGGCTATAATCCCGTTCGTGAATGTGTTGTCTTTAATGAGGCAGGATTAGTGCAGCGTGTGTCTTGAGTCAATCTCTTTTGAGATATAAAAGAGATTAAACAAGCAAGACAAACAGAGATGGGGGAAGAGAGATGCCAACTGCATGAAGATTGCCCAGAAGAAGAATCTCAAAGAGATGAGGACCTTCCTCCAGAGCCAACAAAGAGAGAAAGCCTTCCCCTAGAGCCAGCACCCCAAATTGGGGTTTCTAGTCTCCTGAACTGTGAGAAAATAAATTTGTTTGTTAAAGCCGTCCACTTGTGGTTTTTCTCCTATAGCAGCACTAGATAACTCAGACACATTTTGGTACTGAGAGTAGGGTGCTGCTCTAACAAATACCTAAAATGTGGAAGTAGTTTTGGAATTGGGTGATAGGTAGAGGCTGGAAGAGTTTTAAGGTGCCTACCCTGGTGATGCGGTGGTTAAGCGTTTGGCTGCTAATCAAAAGGTCAGCAGTTTGAATCCACCAGCCGCTCCTCAGAAACCCTATGGGGCAGTTCTACTCTGTTCTATAGGATCACTATGAGTCAAAACTGACTTAATGGCAATGGGTTTGGTTTTTTATAATGGTAATAGTCTTGACTGCCTTGAAGAGGATGTCAAAGACAATTATGGTGAAGGCTAGAAGGAAGTCAAAAGAGCTATAGTCTCTATCATCTTAGAGAATACATATGGTGCCAGCAACAGAATGTTACTAGAAATGTGGATGTTAAATGTGCTTCCGGTGAGGCTTTAAAAGAAAATGATGAACACAAGAGTGGTCAATGGAGGAAGGGTAATGCTTTTCATGCAATGGCAAACAACTTGTCCAAATTAATGTCCAAATCTTTGGTGGAAGGCAGAACTAGTAAGTGATGAAGTTGGAATCTTGCTGAGGCGATTTCTAAGCAAGATCTTAAAGGGGCTGTGTGGTTTCTCCTTGCTGCTTATAGTAAATGTGAGAGGAAAGAGCTGTACTTAAAAATGAACTGTGCAAAATGAAAACAAATCTTAAAGATTTGGAAAATTCTGTTGTACAAACTAAGGACACGTGTCCTAGAATTTTCAAGAAGGACATGGCTATACAATCTTTTGTTAAAGAGACTAAGCCTGTGACTGATGGATCTAACCAACTACCATAACAGAAAACCCATCAGCTTAGACTGAAGGGGACAGAGAAAGAAGAAAGGAAAGAATGTCTCTGTCTCTTGGAATTCTACAGGCAGGAAACAGGCCAAAGGAGCTACATCTGTTGTCCTCCAAGGAAAGAAAAGGACCATCCCTGGAGCAGCTCGAAGATTAGCAGAACTGTTGGAAGGAAGCAGGGCCTTCCTGGTTTCAAAGTGTGGGGCCACAGTCTCCTGGCTCTCAAAGGGCAGGGCCACAGTCTCCTAGGTTTCAAAGATTCAGATCTTCCCAACTCAGTGCTGGAGTGCAGGCGCAGCAGACCACAGCTGAGGGGGCGGGGCTGCCATGCTCAAGTGGCAAAAGGAGGCCTGCAGGGGCTGAGCAGGTGTGGTTACCACTCAGATGGGCTAGAAGAATGGGGCCGCCTAAGCTGAGGGAGCATAGTTGCCATCTCAGTGGGCCTGGAAGGCAGGGTCTCTACTCAGAATCCAGAGGGCATGGCCAACACTCAGAGTCTGGAAGGCAGGGCTATTGCCTAAATGGTCTCAGAAAAGAGAGGATTATTTTCAAGCCTTGAGAGCTAATATAAATTGTTCTGATGAGTTCTGAACTTTCTGTTATCCCTTCTTTCCCTCCAATTTCTCCCACTAGTAATGGAAATGTCTACCTTGTGCCTGCTCCACCATTGTACTCTGGAAACAGGTAATTTGTGATCTAGATTTTATGGGTTCACAGATGAAAAGGAATTTTGCCTCAAGATGGAATACAACTTAAGGTCTCACCCATATTTTATTTACATGATTCAGAAGATGAGGTTTTGGACTTGGAGTTTATTTAAGACTTCTGGGATGATGTGATGGAGTAAATGTGTTTTACAAGTGGGAAGGACATGAATTTTGGGGTGAGCCAAAAAATGGAATGTTATGGATTGAATTGTGCCCTTCCCCCCACCATGTGTTGTAATTCCTAACCTCTATGCGTGTGGCTGGATGCCTGGTGGCGCAGTGGTTAACAGTCTGGCAGCTAACCAAAAGGTCAGCAGTTTGAATCCACCAGCAGCTCTTTAGAAACCCTATGGGGCAGTTCTACTCCGTCCTATAGTGTCACTCTGAGTCGGAATCGACTGGGAGGCAGTGATTTTGGTTGTAATCCCACTTGGGAATGGGTTGTCTTTCTTATGTGAATGAGACAGGATTAGTGTAGGGGTAAACCTTGAGTCAAACTCTTTTGAGACATAAAAGAGATTAAACAAACAAGCGAGAGAAGCAGAGACGCGGAAGAGAGATGCCAAGCCACATGAAGACCACCCAGGAGCTGAAACTCCGAGACAAGGACCTTCCTCAAGAGCCAACAGAGAAAGGAAGCCTTCCCCTAGAGCTGGCACCTTGAATTCACACTTCTAGCCTCCTAAACTGTGGGAAAATAAACTTCTGCTTTATAAAGCCACCCACTTGTAGTATTTGTCATAGCGGCACCAGAAAGCTAGGATACTTGATAAAGAATAAAGTTCCTGAAAAAGTTTAAGCCTAAAATCACGTGCAATAAAAGCTTGACAAGACTCTCTAGGCAAGGTAAATAGAAAGTGAGTTGGCAACACAACTCACCTACAAGTTCTCCAATCATGAAAAGCAAGTAAAGAACGGCAGCAATGGTCAATCTGGTTTTCACCTTTCTCTGCTTCAATAATTCTCTCTGCTTGCTGCAGCTGTCACAGGGGTCCACCTTCAGGCTCAGCTGACTGTTGGTCAAAGGTAAGTCCTGGTCCAACAAGGAATCGTCGTCGGCCTGAAGGGCAGGGTGCGCCCCGTTAACAGGCCTTTCCGGGACTTCAGAGCCATCATCGGCCACCACAACGCGAAGTTTGTTAAACCGAGAAAGCCTCTCATGCACCACGTCATCCGAGAAGTCAAAGGCGCTGGTGTCATTTAAAAACAGCGGCGCATCATCTTTCCTCAGCAGAGATTTGAGGCGCTTCCAAGCGCCGGCTCCCGCCATGGCAGAGGCTGCGCGGCTGCGGCGCGGAACAGCCAGGTGCAGGCGGACCGCCGACGGCTACTTCACCGGAGCGCCGGTTCCCGACGGCAGAGCCGCGCGTCCCTCCCCACCCTGTGGAAGACGAAAAGCGTTATAAATTAAAGATGCCCCCACATTCCCCTCAAGTTCTGACACCGCAGGCGGCGGGGGCGCAGCGCCGGCCCAGAGGCGCAGTGTTCGCCGGTCTGCGGCCGCCGGTGTCTGCAGGC